GGAGGTACCATGTTGGGATACCTCATAGTAGCGCTGGGGAGTGTATTGACCCCTCCAAGTTGTTTAGAATTTGGAGCGGTTTCAAAAAATGGAACTTAAGTGCATATTATTCCTAACCCAACGATGCGAATGCAGTGCGGTTGAACGTGAATGCTAACTCTGGGATTTGTGCGAGTACAATACATTTCAACATTTCATGCCAAGTCCCTTACCCAGTTTAATACCTACACTCATGAAAATTGATAAAAATCCATGTTTGACGGCTTCCTTGGTAGCATTGTTAGCGTCGTCGAATTGTCATTCCCCTGTCATGGAGCACTTTTTTATTGCCTTTTGAATAGGTACTTTCTTTAGTCACGATGCTGTGCATTTTATGTAAACCTACAATAATTATTTTGTCCGATTTGCTGTCACTCTCAAAAATGCAGCCTATCACTGTGGTGCCTGAGGTAGTTGAACGAAAATCCACAGGCGTAGAAAGTGGGCAAATGAATGAGGTTTATAAGGCGTCCGAAATGGTTAGTGTAGTGTAATATCCAACCTACTTTTACGTTCACCCGTAAAGATTTGTAACCTTGGAATGTAATTTGCCTATCTTAAGCAAAGTTCCGCCATGTTATGGCAAGTATTTTTAAAAATACTTAAGATTTTTATGAAATTTGACAAAATTAAGTACGTTCCAACCAGTAGTCGTAATGTTTAATGGAAACGACGCATCGTCATCCCACGGATTTATTCCATTCCTTCTAATACTATTCACTACTTTTGTCTCAGCTGCTCTCTATCCTATGTATTTTACTTTTCGCATCGGGTCAAAGAAAGAAAATTTGAGTTACTCTTACTTGCCTCACCAAGAGTAGTTAAAAGCCCAGTCCAATGCCTTTCAGACCCACTCAGCCTACGGAGTAATTCTGCAGAGCAATCCCCTTCCATTCTTGCGAACAGCCGGTCCGTGCTGTGCTCTTCTGAAAGAACTAGATGTGTTCTCGCGGAAAGTTCAAAGGAGAAATTCGCGACTCTCGTGTGGCAGAATCACAAACCCGGTCAGCGGATACAACATGATCTCCCCAGTAGGCACTGCCATTCTTTGGGCTATGCAGTGTCCTGTTGCAGAGGATTACCGCACGGCTGCGCTGGCTGCATGGGAATGCTTCTCTGCACCCATGGAAATCGGTCTAGGCCGCCCCTCTGGCCGGCCCCAGTCCCATCACTACCAACAACAGTCGCGGAACAGCAGGGTTAACGGGAGAGTTGCGGACAGCGACGGGGATCAGGGTCCCATTCAAGCAGAGGTGCGTCGCATGAATTTGGCTGATGACAGCGCCAAGGTGCGACGGATGGCGCTGCGCATTCTCATATCGCGGCAAAAATGTCGCAGCATCGCCTGCTCTCTTGACACGTCACGCTGATCGGAGGCGTTGGCGGCATGCAAGAGGGGGGAGCGTGGGTGGACAGATGGATTTTTGATTGCTTATACAAGCACAATATTCTGCCCTGATGTCTTTTTTGGAATCGGAAAACAATTGTCGTAGCTATCCAATCCTGTAACTTATTCAATCTTAAAACAAGGTTGAAATAGGGTGTTGGAGACAGTTTTGAATAGGTCCAACATCGGTGAGAATTTTGTTTGGCATAAGATCTATTCCTCCAACATCTGTAATTATCACATCTACTGTCTAAAAATCGGTAATAGGTGTGATTCCTCCTTGTTTGGATACGGCTGGTCTAGCGCGGCCAGTCTCGTGGGTACGCGTACCGAACTCTAGAAATTCGGTTTTTATGCTTTCAAGACTAATGTGGTACATTTGGAGATTACTGACCTGTAGCTCCTGAGTAGAGTAGTGGGTGTGTCTAGTGCTTTCATGCTAATCCTTTTTGACAGCGTTATTTCACCATCAAAAGTCTTGAGGTGAATGATGTGCTAGGAGCGAGGCACCACTCAAACGCAATCAAATTGTCCAAGTAGCTAATGATTGCCAAAGTAGTAAATTTGGCGACATTGGCGATAAAACCTACTCTATTTATGTTCAGTGTGCACTCAATTATTGGGAGTTTTTAAAGCGAACTGTTTAGTTAGGAAGTTTTGGCTTGTTGGGTCCTGTGGCAATTTTACCTCTCACCAAAATGTGGATCAAATTCTGCCTCAAAGCAGATCTGATTAAGGGTAAATGCGTCAGGAATGGATACTCTGCTCACCTTGCAATTATCTGTCAATTCAACGTGAGTGTGCACGAGCTTGGAGGAACAAGTTGGGAATTTGGAATTACAAAAGTACAATCGGGGAACTACAAGCCCATTTAATTCACAATCTAATTCGTCACGAAGCTGTCTCACTAATCACATTTATCAACTCTATTACGGGATACCAAATTTTCAAGTACGAATTGTTGAGTTTAGGCTTGAAGCAGTTTGCGTCGACGTTCAGTTAAACTGTTGGATGGAGCTTATGACTGAAATTCTGCCTTATTCCAACCTCCTACGTGCAGTGCCTCGTATTCCTTTTTGTTCCATAGCAAAGAAGTCTAATGTGTCACGCTCGAGATGTGAAATTAGTGCAAGATGATATTTAGACCACCAAATAGCTTCAAAATTGGGGGTTCTAGTAACACGATTTCCCAACCCACTTTTCCTTGCAAAAGAATCTAGTGGAGCTGCAGACCAAAATCACACTGAAAGCATACATAGCAAGCAATTAAAATGAAACACTTAAAATCAAAATCCCTTGAACCATGACTTGTGGACTCTGAGACAGTAACAGTTCAGTACTCTTCTTTTCGACAGCTCGTCAGTTGTGCAATTCAATGCGAGCCCTGAATCGTAAGCCTACATGGCAAGCAATGATAAGGAGCACGTGGAAGAGTGGTGAGATCAATATTCGGTGTCTTTTGAAAGCGTCGGCGTGCGTCGCATGACTTCAATCATACCAATTCACTGGTTGATATTCAATTTACTCACATTGGAAGGAGATGCCTAAGTCAGGGAAGAAATCGAAAGAGTCAAAGGCCTCAAAAGGCTCTCAGAAGGGTTCCAAGGGCTCAAAAGGTTCTAAGGGTTCCAAAAAAGTCCCCAAGACTATCGAGCCAGTTGAGGAACCGGAGATTATCGTTCCCGTTCCCGAGGGTGTTATGCATAAGCGCATGCGCTTCCTTTTGGAATCAACACTGAAAACTGATGTAGACTTCATTGTTGGGCCTGATGGAAATGAAACAACCATTAAGGCTCACAAGTGCATGCTTGCAGCCGAGAGTCCTATGTTCGAAAAGCTATTTGCTGACTGTCAGGAGTGGAAGGATGCAGAAGTGAGAAAACGAGAACAGGAGGTTCTCGAGATTCGTCAGCGGGAAGCAGAGGTAGAGGCGGAGCTCGCCAGAGAGGCGACTCAACGAGAACCTGGTAAAGTCGAGAGCCAGAAGTCCAAGAGCAAAGGCAAAGGCAAGGGTAAAGGAAGCAAGGAAAAAGGTAGCGAAAAGTCCAAAAGTAAAGACAAATCTAAGTCCAAAGGGAAGGATTCCAAGGGGTCCAAAGGTAAAACCGAAAAGAAGTCGAAAGGGAAGGAGAAGGGCTCCAAGGATTCTAAGGGAAAGGGTTCAAAGGGATCCAAGGAAAAGGGTTCCAAGAAAGGCCAACAAACGGCCGATGAAGGTCCTGTCACGTTAATTAACTTTCACAAAGACGAAGTTATTGGACCTGATACAATCAGGGTGCAGGATGTTCACCCTCTTGGATTCTTCAGACTTCTCAGGTATTTACTTTTTTTTTAAGTATTGCTCTTGGGATCGTTTTAACTATCGTAAAAATTGTTTCACTTCTTGAACCTCGGCAATCCACGATGATGTGTGTGGCAAAGGTTGTGCCCAAACGTTTTTGTCGTGCAAGATTCGTAGCTATACAAAATGCTGTTGTTTTTTAAATAAGATGGGCTGATTGCTGATACCTTAAGTTTATATGACAATTCAAATGTACTTATTTCATTGTAGTGCTGTGGCGAACACCAGGCCCCATCCTCCTCACTTTTATTTTTGACTGTTTTATCAAGTACTGCATTTTCAGGAATCCTTACGAGCTGTTTTAACCCAAAATTGAGGAGTTAAGCGCAGGCAGTTAAGCAGCTCGATTCTAAAATATGGTTAAGTCGACTTCATTGTTAATAAGTGAGGTCCCCCCCTTTCCCAATCACTGGGGTCGTGGGTTGGGCCTAGAAAAAGCGTTTTACCTCGTCAAAAAACGCCTCACCACTTAAAGAGGAGCATCTTTTTTTCAATTATGCTTTAAAACCCAAACGCCACTGACGTAAACAGCAACGTGAGTCGTTCTTCCCCAACCGAAGACCAGTAAAACAGGAAGTGGCTAAACGCAGAAGTTTAAATGCACTGCAAACTTTTCGTGGTCTTCCTAAGTTATTGAGTTTCTCCTTTTAATATGAGCATATTTTGTTGCCACAAGAGTCAGCTTTTTATTGCCATAGGCCGAGGAAGTACTCGTTCCTTTGCATTTTTCAAGGCAAATTTCATATGTTTGCCTGAAATTAGTACTAAACGCTATCCATCAGTTCACAAGGCAGATTTATCTGACTGTTTTGATATGTGAGTCATTCAGGCTTAGGAGACATTCTGCTTCATCCACCACACGAACCAACTGAGTGTCTCTCGGCCAACTCACGAATTACCTAACCCCGAAGTCGAGGGCGGCCGTCCTTCTTATGATGGCGGTTGCAGCACCCGGTGGGATGTCATGAGCTTCACTGCTTATTTCCTGCATCCTCTAGACTCCCAACAAGCCAAAACTTGGCTTGCATTCGCCAAGTATTTAAGTTTCTAATAGTCGAAATCAGCCTAATCTTCATCTTGCTCTCGCCTTTCCTGTTTTGTAAAATACTCTTTGCAGGGAGGAGCAGAAGTAAAAGTAAATGGCGAAGTCGTACGGTTGAGAGAAAGTTGACGTAGCCTTTGGTCAGTCGTGCTGTCCAAATATCCGCATTACAATGCAGACCTTCCAACAGTTGGGATGAGTGGTCACCTGGCCCGTGAAAGATTGGACAATGTGACGAGGTTTTGTTAGATTTTGTACAACTTTAATGGAAATGAACATGCACTGCTTGTGCACAACCGTACCTTACCAATTTCGCCTGTAGCGAACGCTTTTACAGGAGTGTTGACGTTTGCTAATGAGTTGTCCATAAAAACGTTAGTATTGTTCCCTCAGATCTCTGCATAAGTGTTTCCTGCCGCAGTTATTTTTAGTCAGATTGTGTAAATACGCTGAGACACATTTATTCTTCACCAGTAAACCCAAGACTCAAGCTGTTGTGATGAAG